CAGAGTTACTAACTCTTCTAAAGGGTCCAGAAGTGACTAATGTGAAGCGGCCGAGGACTTCGACTAATATTGAAGAAATAGATCTAACAAGTGGCGGGGATTCGTCACAGGGTGGGGCCATGGAACTACAAGTGGCGACCGTCCAGGTTGACAAGAAGAGATTTGCTCTCCCTCCAGGGACTGTGGCTCATCCATCATCTTTGCCAGGAGTCTCCAACGCGAGTGATTTTAAATCAAATGCAGAGGAGGATCTTCTCGAAATCTTACAACCATGTGGGTTATAGTTATCCCAGTGATGGGGTTGAGATTTTGTTATTAATATATAACTTTACTCTTTAGGGCACTCGTATCATCCTTTTAAGGGGAGTGCATATGAGCCGGCTGACCAAGTGGCCTATAAGAAAAATGTCTTCAAAAGGATGGCGATAGATCCTCATAGGTTGGAGAAATTCCCACTTTACGTACTCCCAGTGCCTGGGTGAGTAGTACAGGACATGAAGTATGGTACCCCGGCCAATAAGCATTTGGGGGAAAAAATAAAAAGTGACGGGAAGGGGCCTTACGTGCTGATTCTTGGGACGTCTCTTACGGTCCCCTGGAGATTGGCCCCCGGAGACCGGACCTTCTGTGACAACGTGAGGCCTGAAAAGGCGTCTACTCGACCAGCTTTTGACTTTGAGCATTTGCTAGCAGGGAGAGGAATCGAAGTATTTCAGGTAAAAAAAGTGTGACGTAAAACATGAAGAGTTAGTGTGGGCTAATCTTTTAATAAGAGACGTATATTTTTATTTTCAGTACTCATTAAGTGGCTGGAGTGCCTTAATTGGGGCAGGGCAGGTGGTCAGCCCCGCAGCCATGAAGATGAGAGTCTATCGAGACTTAAATCTTGATTCAACCTTTAGATTTACTCATGTTTTTGTAAGGGTGGGAACTAATGATTTGAAGAACTTAACAGATCCAGGGGTAAAGAGGTATCCCAATTTTGGGCATTTTCTCCAAGCATTGTATGGATATTATGAAGAGTTAAGCAAAGTTTTTGACGCGCCAGTTTTGGCATTGGGTGTGCGGAATTTTTCTGACCCCCCTTTTTTGAAAACCAGAACCTAAAAGAAACGCCGACGAGTAATTTAATCCTCGCATCTTGGATGCGCGAAAACAATCGGGAAAGAAAAATCCCAGAACTGGGATGCTTAAAAATGGGACATCAGGAATGGTAACAGGAGAAAGTCACCATGAACAGAAAGAAAAGCCCCCCGAACCGGGACAAAAACATTTGCCAAAGTCGGCGCCTTTTTTCCGCAGGAAGAGACTAATTCTCCTCCTTTCTCTGCAGTTTTGAAACCAGGGTCATTTGACCCTAAAAGATGTGCTCAAATNCCAGGGTCATTTGACCCTAAAAGATGCGCACAAATTTACAAGCCAGCTGCTGGCAACGCACCATAAAAATCTTCTTGTTCTCGGTTTTCCGCTGAAAACCAATTTGTCTCCCAAAAAACGAGACGACGAGCTGTCAAGATCGTCGAAATTTAGTCCCCCTAGATATTATTTTACTGCCGAAAAATTCGGCAGCATACTAAAACTCCGAACACCCGGTGCCGGGAAAAACATGTACAAGACTTTGAAAATCGACGGAAAACAGCACTAAAAGTTTATTAACAACTGCCAACATCTGGCATTTTTTCGAGAGTTCAAAAACCTCGACACCTGGGTGTTTTTCTGCCAGGAAAACTTGCGCCAAATCTGGTGGGGAAGAATTGTATATAACCCCCAAATTTTTATGCAACAGACACAGTTTGAATCCAGAGAGCCACCAGGCAATTTTCGCGTACAAAATTTTTGGACTTGTTTTAAATTCAAAACCCTGTGGACTTAGGGAAATTTGGGAACTTCCTTTTGTCGAGTGTTGTGTGAAAAAGAACCTTGTAATATTCGAAATATTTTCCTATCCGTTGAGATTCTTTTTAAAACCATAACAAAAAATACTTCTCAGTTCGAAAGAACTTGTAAACTTGGATCCTTCTCCAATTTGAACTCCTTTTGTACTCTCTTGAGTCTTACAAAACCAAAGAAATTTCATTTGAGATCCTGACTCAATATTTCGAATCCCCCTTTGTCAAACTTTTTGGAAAACTCCTCCTGTGTGAGCGCGTGTGTGTATCTTTGGAACTTTTGTGTGAATTGTTGTATTTATTCTTGTTTGAAAGAAAGGTCTGCGCTAGTGGGAGAAATCCCGGTTGGTTCGCGCCCGGCCAATTGCCGTGTTTGATTTATTCAACTCTAATTGCCGTTATTTAAAATTCTTGACCCTTGGGAACTCTGCAAAATTTCACAATCAAGGTGTAAGGCTTGATAAATCTATTCTTACATTTTTAAAACCTTACAACCTCATCACATGAGGAGGGCATTCCAATAATTTTTGCACTGCTTTCAGACAAGCAAAGTGCTTCTTAGAGTAGAATGTGGACCATCAAAGAGGTTTCCTGCAATAATTTTGGGGATTTTGGCATAATCAAGACATTCCACACATACTTTGAAGGAGGTGCAATAAAAAGCACTTCGTGACATTTTCACAGAACATTGTCACAAGGGTTGCTTATTTCATTTCAGACAGGCAATTTTCAGGAAGATTTCTGAACTGGGCTTGAAGGCATATACAGAAATCCCACCAGTTTCCACCTGGCTGAGAGGACTCATAGCACTAGCCATGCTTCCATTGTGCCATATGTTCATCATGCTTGGCCAATTGTGAAAACTCCACCATTTCTAGCTGACCCTTTCTCAAAACAAAAAATGGGTGAAGTCTCTGCCTACACACAAAACCTAGAACAATAACAGCCTATTGCTGCCCCACCTTTGGACTCATTATGACAATGAGGGATCTCCATCAACAAGTATAGCTGAGGACTTTCACAACTAGTTGATCCACAACTTTGGAATGCCTCAGAACTTGACAAAATTCCTCCATTGTCTGCAGAAAGCCCATTTTCAGTCTTAGGGCAGAATAGGTAAGCTTGACAGTGGTTCACCCGTTTTGGGACAAAGAATGACACCGGAGAAATTGGAAATCAAAATTTGGGAGGCCAAAGAAACTTTCACAGGTCATCATTGACATTGACACAAGGTGTTAGTATTGATTACCTTATATTACTTTTGCAGGGTTATGTGTGATCTTTTCTGGGGTGTGGTGTCTGGTTTTCAACAAATCACCCATCTAAAAAATGATCAAGTGATGACAGAAAAAGGTTGGAGGGCTAAGAGAAAAAACCAGGATCATCAACAGTTGTGCTAGTTTTTTTTTTTTTTTTACAAAATCAGCAATTCATGGGCAATGCAATTCTTGACTAAATCACTCTTCAGCAGCACTCATGACAGCACAATTGCACAGGAAATCACTCCACATAATAACATGAAAACATAGATGGCTGAATAGTTCTCAAGCCTTCAGATGAAAAAATCAACCAAACCGGCTTAGACCAGAGAAGAAGCCTCATGTTAATTGTTTGATGTGAACATGACTTTTCACTTTCGCTGAAAATTTATCTGGAGAACACCATTCCCGAAGAAACATCCTCAGCACATGTACCGGAAGTATTTGGGCACGACGACACAATACAAATTCCAGGAGGTATCCTAGTTTAGGCAGAAAATCAAGCACGAAACTGATCATTGGACTCATTCCTACCCAGAAGACCCCACAAATCAGACATTGAGATGCAACCTTTTCGTCAATCAGACCCCCATAATGTTGCTCAATTAATTTGCTCCACAAAAGCAGACAGCAAGATTTAATGGATGTCATTCGTACCAGTAAGAAAAGTTCTGTTCAAAGTCACATCAAGGACATCCCCATCATATATTCAACTTCAGGAGACTAATCCATCGCGAAAATCCAAACAGGTCAACACAACAGGCACAGAATTCTCTCACATCCGCACCAACCAAATAACCGAGTAGAACTGAAGTGGAGGTTACTTGAAATGGCCGTTGACCCCCCCCCCCCCCTCAGCCAGTCCATGGGATTATCGCAGTGAGTCCCAGTCACTTTGTGCCCCAAGAAACCCCGACACTGATTATGACCAGATCTGCACATTTCCCAGAATTCGAGGAGGGAGACAAAGGGGTTTTTTTGCGGCGCCGTTCAAAGGCATCTCCCCCGCGAAAAGCACACACTTAAACGGATGGGACTCAGCATGGTAATGGTCCATAGGTACCAGGGAGAGAAAGGGACAGAGAGGGAAGGGAAAGTTTCACCCTATCTTAGATGTCCTTGGAAGGGGACAGTTGCCACGCTCACCATCCCTCTACCATTTCCTTCAGCAGGCGTCTGCCACCTTGGCCACCGAAATATTTTTGGTGGCCACCCCAGAATTGGATTCCTTGAATACAATTTCCAGAAAAGAACCAGAATAAAATGGTTTTCTGCCCTACCAGACCCAACTTCTCCATTCAATAGGTGTATCGAATAATTTAGAGGGACATCAATTCTTGGAAATATTCCCAATTACACCCTTCTAGGATGAGGAGATATCCAATTTGAGTGAAGCAAATTAAAAAAAAATTGTTAGGAATTACCCCTTGCCTACACCCATTCCTCAGAGAAAAATTTCAAAAAATTCATCTTTGGAATAATCTCCTTCACCTGAATTACAGAATAAAAGGAATTACAAAAATGTCACATTCAATAATTTTATAATTATATGAAAACACAGACAAGTACAAATGATTCCCACTGTTCTTCATCTAATATTTTTCTCAACCTCATTAGAAAGGGTGTCTCTGGGAGAAGAAAAGTATGTATACAATATAAGGACAATCTATAAATTGCAAACTCCATTTCATTTTCAACATTTGAAACATTTTGACTTCCTTGAGGCAAGACGGTATTGAACGTGAAGAGATGTGGAACTCTGAGCAAATAATTTCAGCTTATGAGTCAATTTGAAATACAAAGCCTGAAATGTTTTGACAGAATAAGATGTGATAAACAAACAAGACAACCCAGCTAAACTATATCCAATAAAAAAGGAAATAACAATCATGAAAATACAAAACATTCCTTTACTGTTTTGAAACATCAATCCATAAAAAAATCAATAGGGGAGCACACACATAAGCCACAATCATTTCTTGAGTACAGGTTGGAGAGGAGGAACAGATACAAATGCCACCAATTTTGCCAGGATGGTTCTTGGAATCTTGGGAAATCCTTTGAAGACTTAAAATGAAGCACCTTGCTGGGAAAATAATGAAAACTAAGGCAAAATTCAAAAAATGTATGCCATGATGTGCTTACCATGTCAGAACTTGTACAGAATATGATGCACAACCACGCCTTCCATCACCATGAACCCCATTTCTGGAACACTGTGGGACACATTGGCTATTCCTGCAGGTTGAGTTTGTTTCTCCAGGATCTTCATTCTGCAAATGATTGTTCTTTGACTTTGGCATTGATGTCTTCATTTGTTAGTCCTGATGAACAGTTGCAAACTTCACCACCCAGCTGACAACATCAAACACCAACAAAGGATCCATGCTGAAAGAAATTGAAAACTTCAATATCCAAGATATCACTGATCTCTCAGTAGTTTCAGAACCTTGCTTGATTTAATGGCCTTCTGTGTGACAGGAAAATGCAGGATTGAAGCATGTATGGGTGCTGGACAGCAGCATTCTTCAGGTCTGAAGGAAAACAAAATCAACTGGATTACTTTGTTCCATTTCCATCATTACCATATCTCCTTACCTGGTTCCTCCACCATATCCTCCTTGTGGCTCATTTTTGATCTCATGATTAACCAAAACAGGATATCAAGGCAGTCAATTTTAAAATAATTGAACTCAATAATTAACAAATGGTCAAAAACACTTGCAGAATTCTTCTCAAGTTGGAGTATTACTGTAGAGCACATTTTGATTCTACTATGGCCAGTTGTATTTCCAAAGACCCACATATCCATCTAACATTTTGCTTCATACTGACAAATGAATATTCATAGTTGTGGTTCCTTTCCAAGTCACTGAAAAATTGCTTAACACTACATTACCCTTTCTGGCTCTTTTCCAAAGTTGAACATCCGAAGTGCTCATTCATACATTTTTCCATACTTCCCCACACAAAGAAAACAAGCCTGCTTATTGGCATCAACAGAAGTTCATAAAAGCATTCTTTTATCCCATGCATTGATTGCATGGGATTTCTGAGTGCTTTGTGTCTCCTAGATTTCTCTGGTGTCTGCTCAGAAATGGGATGCCATAAGCATTTCATCATGAATGAGACATGCTTCCAAGCCTATAACATTGGGATCAACATTGCCATCAAAAAGCCTTGGGATTTGATTGTTATTCTTCCTGAAGGCTATCATGGTAGATTCCATGTTGGTTTCAATGTGAATGTTTCCATGAACTGTGCTCTGAAACTGTGGGTTGACAATTTGATCAGAGTAGCCTTCTGCAATTGCCTGTAAGTTTTATACATATATTTCCTTATGAATTTGGTATTGATAAAATTATGGAGTTGCTGAATACTTTCAGGACAGCAAGGAATGCTACATTCCCCTCAGAACCCTTTGTCAGGCTCTACATGGTGTACCAGTACAAAAAATGGCTGCATGGGACACTGAAGAAGTTTCCCTTGCATGGTGAAGCAGCCAGTGCTGACAAAGAATGCAGCTGAGAAGTTTGCAGTCAAGTTTCAAGAGTTTGTGAATGGAGATTACCTAGCTCAACAGGTGATGAGTTTGCAGAGAATTTTACAGAGTGTAATAAAAAAATCCCTTGTTACATACTCAACAGGTTTTCAAGGCTGATGAAACTGGACTTTTTTGGAAGAAGATGCCCTCAAGGACTTTCATCAGCAAAGAAGAGAAGGCTGCACCTGGACATAAGCCCATGAAGGACAAGCACACTCTTCTGTTTGCTGCAAATGCAAGTGGAGATGGCAAAGTGAAGCCCATACTTGTCTACCACTCTGAGAATCCAAGGTGCTTCAAGAGGAACAATGTAAAAAAGGTCATTCCTTTACCAACTGGAATCAGTACCAAAAATGTAGTAAAAATGATCCACAAACAATTTGGATGGGGATCACAGTTTTGTTTGTTTGGTCCCACTTGAGTTTAAAATGACTATCTTTACTGCTTACCTTCACTGAAATATTTGTTTTGGTGCACTCACCTTAATTTTGTAATGAATTTTCAGAGTGTTCTTTGCAGTGCAAAACTGGCTGTTTGCACGTGGAGGTGGGTGCAAACAGTAAAAATACATATTTTGTACAAGTGTTGCTTCATTTATTGGTTTTAGCTTCCACCATCTAGCATTGAATAAGAATGTTGCATATCTGTCACATTGGGTTTAAAATTTTATTTTGAACAATTTATGTGACTAAAATGTTGCATTTTCTTGTATATTTGCAGAAAAGACACTTGTTAAAAAAGTGAGAGTAAAACAGTGGGAAAAAGAAGCCCGTGATGCTCAATTACAGCAATTTAAGGCGGGAATGTTGCAGAAACTTGGCAATTTAGACCCCTTGATGGACCTGGTTGGTGATTCTTGCCTGAGGGGAATTGTCTTGAGCAACTGTTCTGCTTTCAAATAAGGTCCCATCAGGGAAACTCCAAAAAGATGATGCCAAGCTGATTCAATCTTCAACAATTGTCCTTATCTGGATGGGCTCTTGGAGAGCATCCAGAATCTTTTGAATGGTCTGTTTATGAACATAAGGGGCAAATGGACCACTTTATGGAAAGGAAGGAGAGTGGTAGTGATGTTCACATCAGCAAACATATGCATGATATTTTTGGATACTGCAACAATGAAATTGTTGTCGTGATTGCTGGTATCAACAATATTTTGAATTTTTTGGAGGATTTGGTCAAATGAATAATTATGAGAGACCAGTCCCAAATCAATCCAACCCACAAATTTCAGATATGTTGAATAGAATGTAAATTGGGTTGGAGCATTTAAGAACCAGATACTCTAACAATCCATCAATTATTTGGACGGGGTTCAGTCCAATAGGAAATGATGCAAAAGGTAAAAATAATGACAACCATCAGAAGTTGCAGAAGAATTTTTCTAAGAAAATGCAATGATATATTATGCATTGCACTGTTTGTCCAGGTTGGCCAGAATGGCTATTTGACACGCCTTTGTTGTATAACGCAATTGTAATAAGGAAGGCAACCAACAATAATATTCACTGGAAAGCAGAAAGAGCTGTAGAATGGTCCCATTGTTTTGAGCAGTTGAACATTGGTGATTTGGGCCTTTAATTTGGTTGTGTTCATTGCAAATCAGAATGAGTTGTGTCAGCTGAATAGAATATTTTGACCAAAGATTCTGAGTTTTAATTTTGAATTTGGGCCATGTGCTTGGGTGGGTCTGGAAAGGGCTGAACAGCTCTTCTCATCTTATCTTATTTTATATATTTTTTCTTGCATGCCTTCACTTTACTTTTGTTGAGAATTTTCAGAATGTTCTTTGCAGTGCAAATATACTGTTTGCGGGTGGAGTTGGGTGCAAACAGTAAAAAAAAGCCTTATAATAGCAAAAGTTATCTGTTCCATATGGATAATTCCCTGTTGAGAACAGGAGCAGTTGTCTTAAGAAATGATATAGTTGCAGTTTGAAAAAAAAATTCTAAGACCTACAATCTTGCAAGGTGGGTGTGTCATGAACACATGAAAATAAACATATTGTTTTTTTGCAAGATCACAGGATTTATAATTATATCATAAATAATGTAGGTAATAACTGTACACAGAGGACAAAGTACACAAATTAAGTAAAATCTATAAAAACTGCAACAGATATGTCAGATAACACTGGTTCAGGCAATTATTACATAACTTTCACATTTTCATTCAAATCTAAAAAAATAGTTGTCCAAAATGATTGAAAATTTGAAAGACCATTGAAAATATGTAGGGGCACCTTTGCTGAAGTTTTTGTGCTTTGGTTTTGTGTTTTATTAAAATGGGAGCAATTTTAAAAAGTGTAAAAAGCGCGCCAGGTTTCATAAGACTCTAAGGAAATCCCAGGAAAAAACTTTCAAATTCCACCAAAAATTGAATTTTCAAGTTCAAAAATTCTACCTAGTTGTAAAAGATGCAGAATTCAATTTCCTAAAGGATCAGTATTTCTTACAAATTTCATCATGATTAGAAAGTTTCAAAATTGAGAAAATGTGAAAATTGTATGAAGTGACACCTATGTAAGCACACCATAAATTCTGAAATTTAGAACAGATTTTCAGGTGCGCACACAGGCAGCTGCATTCATCTGCACCAATCCATCAATGGTTGCACTTTTCCCATAAATAGCAATTTTCACTAAATTGCCAATAACTTTCTAAATAATGAAAATAATTTCTCAAAACTTTTGGACTTGTACATTGGACGTTTATGACATATTTTCATGATATTAGGATAATGATTCTGACATTATATTTTTGGCTCCAGTGAGACTTATGGAATGGCCACCCATCCGCATGGGTTGCAATTTTTGAGGGGATTGGTGTGCAGAATCCTCACTGGGAGCCTCAGAAGGCTTTTGGAGTGTGAACATCTGCTGTGTGACTGTTACTGGAATTTTTGCACTTGGGTGCTGAATTCCATTTTTCCAAGTGTCCTCATGCACTTGTTTGCCCATTTGCATATGGTAATTTAGAATTGGCTTAAGCCATTTTTAATTGCAATTTTCTACTTTTTAACTATACTTGGGAAGTTTTGAGTGAACTTTGTGGTGTTCTAAACCGTAAAGGCTTAAAATTTAAGTGCACCCAGAATCGCAATGTGGGTTTGTAGACTTGGTTTGTGGCCTTTTGCCAAAGATTTACACAAACTTTATTTAAAACATCCAACGTCTTTTAGTGTATTTGTTCTAGTCACGCAGCATTACAAAGCACTGCTCAGTTGCTTGCACTCACATTGAAGGTGTGAGTGCAATACTGAGGTGTGTTTCTAAACATAAGATGTTGCTGTCAAGTGCCCTAAAAGTTCTCTTGTCCTATGTTTTTCATGTTTTCAGTTTTTGATGGCTTTCTAGGCTGTCTTTTGTAGGTCCTGCACTCTTGATTGTATTCAAGTGTAGCAGAAGGCCTTGTGACTTTCTGCTTCTTGCCCATGCTACTAGATCTTAATGGTTTGCCCTGTCCTTTCACTTAAGTGTTCCCTGCAAATTTATTTTGTTGGGGAACATTAGTAGTGAACACAGGGCAAACGCATATAAGTTGTAGTTTTAACAGACCAGCATTTTACATTTGTTTGTGTGGGCTTTCAGATCCATACATTGTGCAAGAAGCTATGCAACAAAGGAATGCAGCATGGCCACAGTTGGTCACTCAAAAGCAAATGGAATGTTAAGCCAGGAACAATGAACTGAGTGGTTCTCAGTGATACCCTGGACCCTATCACCATATAGGAAATTCCCATAATGCAGCAAATGAGCTGGGGGACTGCGTTCCATCAAGAAGGTCACTTCATTAAATATGCACAAATGCATTCCTGAGAATTTGATTCACTTCAAAAAGAAGTGGCTTTAGGATATTAACTAGCATTGTTACCTCACACATTGCCCAGGTGTGGCTGGGCATCAGCTTCAAGCTTGTCTTTGTCTTTCAAAGAAATTGCCTGTAATACAATCCTTCTGCCTATCTGCATATGACATCCATTTAACATTGTTCCAGGTTTCATCTGGCAAATTGAATTGGGTTTCAATGGGGTTTAAATAAAATGTGGTGCTAATAAAATGTTCTACTCCCAAAAAGGAAGACTTACAACCCTGCATATTTTTGTTCAAAAGGCCACTTTGTAATGAACATCTGTAGCTTGCAAACCCTTCATTCCTTGAAACTGCATTTGTTAACAGAAGTGAAAATTTGATAACCCTCATTAGTAATATTTAATGGATGCACTTCATATTAAAGAAAAGGCAATTCCCTGTTCAAATTGCTTTTGCCATGACAATTAATAAGTCACAAAGGCAATATGTGGAACACTTGGGCATTTACTTGCATGAACCAGTGTTTTCACATGGGCACATGTATGTGGCACTATCCAGGTGCCCATCCAAAGCAAAAATCAAAACTGTTTTGGGTAACTCAGCACATGAAGATGATACAGGGGCCTACACAAAGAATATTATGTTGAAGAAGGTCATTTAACCCCTCAAATTCCAATCAATGGCCACAATACTTTCAAGTAGGATCTAGGATCTGATGTTCACCTCCTTGAGTAATGCATCAAGGACTGCTGCAGTGTAGAGGATTCATTCCTTGAAAGGTGGCTCAAGTGGTCTTACATGCTCAAGGGGGTGTAAATGTCAGTGCCTGGTCACTTTTGTTAACTCATCTGTTGACAAAACTGCTCTGGAGATCTTCAAGGTAATATCACAAGGTATGTGCTTTAGAAAATATGACTTTCTTATAGAATTTGACCTTTTTGAACCCTCAACCTTCAGAAATCTATTGCTTTCCATCCTGGAGAAGAATTCTGTGGCTACATCCATTGGAAAGTTTGGTCGTCATGTCCTCCATTCATCATCTGTAATTCTACCAAAATCTTCCTCAAAATAAAGTTGGTTGGAAAGGCATTCAAAATTTTCTAGTGTTTACAGTTATTTTCATTACATGTTCTAGATTTGAAAAAAAAACCCTTAGCATCAATGCAGCTGTTTAAGCCAAGTCAGACTGGAGTTAGTTCATCCTTTCACTAATCATGGATTCTTTGAGAAAACAAGGTCAGTTCTTGAAAAATTATATCTTAAATTTTCAATTCAACTTCTTTGGAATGCATGATTACAGAAAGACAAAATACCTGGGTAGATCTAGATCATGTGAGCTGCTACCTAATGAAGCCAAGCTGTCTTGCAGACTGGAGTATCCTCATCTCTACTCCCCTGGAGCAATCTTCAAACTCTACAGGTTAATTCTTGAAAAGAGTTTCTACATTTATTAATTCAACTTTTTTGGAATGCATGATTTCAGAAAGAAAAGTTCCCTTGGAAGATCTGGAATTTTCAATTAATAGAATTCTTTTTATTTTCATTATTTTTTTCCCAAAACCAAGGATGAATATATTTTATTCACCTGGATGTATCAGATTTTTTTTTTCATTGAGTACATCTATGTGTACAGGGAGCAACAATGGGTGTATTACTTGAAAAGAGAAAATAAGTCATTGGATCTTTTTTTGAAAAAAATCAACAATTGAATGGCAATGCAATTCTTGGCTAGACCACTTTCAGAGGCACTCATGACACCACAATTTCACACAAAATCACTCCACATACAATACTTATTTAAAAATAATGTTACATTTTTCTACCTTCAGATCTTGAGCAATTAACGAATCGGGCTTAGGCGAGAGATGAAACCTTCATTTAATGGATTAAAGAGGATATAACTCACATTTGCTATCAGATTTCTCAGGTAAATACCATCCCCAGGGAAATATCTGTACAAGTACAGGAAGCATTCCAGCACGTTGGCAACAACCAAATTCTAGAAGATATGCCAGTTGGAGGGAGAAAATCAAGTATGGGAGTAATTAATGGATTTATTTCAACTGAACTCCCCACAAATGAGACACTGAGACGCAAGGTTTTTGCCAATGAAAAGTACCCCGGTGATGAATATCACTTGACTTTCTCCACTACTTCCAGATCGCAAGAAGAAACGGAACTCATTCACACCAGTGACAGAAGGTTTTTGTTAAAGACAAAACAAGGACATCACCATCATTCCGTTTTCTTACTCAACTTCAACACACTTCATCAGGAAAATCCGTACCGCCCGACAACACATCACAAATTCCTGCACAACCTCATCAACCGAATACTGGTAGCGAACCGATGCCAACACTTGTTGAAATGGCCGCTTGTTGGCCTCTGGACTGGGAAGAGATGTGGGACAGAGAAGAGGGGGAATGTTCAGGGGATGTCTCCCCTCTTTTAAAAGGCCTTGGAGAGAAACGGTTGCCACCTTCACCACCAGTCTCTAACTTCTCCCTCAGCAGGCGTCTGACAGTGTGCCCACCAAAATTTTTCTCAGGAACTACACTCCACTTCTAACATGGGATTTCTGGAATACAATTACCAAAAAAAGTGCCAGATAAGTGGTTTTCAGTCCTTCAAGACCCATCTTTTCAATTCAGCAGGTCTTGCCAGAAACTCGGGACATCAATACTTGGGGGATATTCCAACTTATAAGCCCTTCCTGAATGAACAGAAAATACATTTGAATGAAACAAATTTCAAAAAAGAAGAAATGATTATGGGGAAATTACCCTATGCCGGCAACCATTCCTCCCAGAACAATTTCAAAAAATTCATATTACAAGCAACCTCCTTCACTTGCATTACAGAACAACCAATATTTAAAAGAAGGTCCATACCATGATTTAATTAATACAGTAGTACATGAAATCACAGCAACATATCAATGCTTCCATGTGTCATTCTTACCTGCCTCATTAGAATGGCTACAACTGGGGTGGAAGAAAATTATAAAATACAAGGGAAACCCAGTTTGCAAACTACATTTCATTTTCAACATTCAAAATATGTTTGAGGCATACCTTTAGTGAAATTAAAGAGATGTGGAAATCTGAGTAGATCACTTTAGTCACTAAGTTATCCAGCATACAAAGCCCAAAAATGTCTGAAAAGGAGGTGTGTGAAACACATGACAAAATCGCTAAACTATACCCAATGAATTACGGAAATAACATGATTGTATAAATATGAAGCACTCCTTTACTGATTTTAAGCATCAATCCATCAAAAAGTAAAAAAAAAAAAATGATAGGGGAACACACACACAAGCCGCAATAATTTCTTGATTCCAGGTAGAAGAGGAGGAACAAACACAAATGCTACCAATGTTGCCAGGATGGTTCTTGGAATCTTGAGCATACTATGAAGACTTGAAATCAAGTCCCTTGCTGAGAAAATCATGAAAATTAAAGCAAATTTTCACAAAATGACTGCAATGATCTGCTCACCAGGTCAGAACTTGTACAAAATATAATGCACAACCACACCTTTCAAAACCATGAACCCCATTTCTGAACCACTGTGGGTCCATATTGCATATTCCTGCAAGTTCAGTTTGATTCATCCAAGTTCTTCACTGTGCAAATGTTTTTCTTTGACTTTGCCAATGATGTGTTCATCTGTTGCAGCCCAAACTTCACAACATCCAACACAAACAAAGGATCCAGCTGAAAAATATGAATAATTTGATTATCAAAGATGTCACTGACTTCTCAGCAGTTTCAAAACCTTTTTGTATCATTCTGTGCCACATGGATCCATCAAATTTCCTCAGACATCAGTGAGCTACAAATTCATTTCAGAGACTATGGTTATATTTATATGATTGTGTCAGTCTCATTGTTGCTCATCATTATTCTACTATGTCTTATTTATTTATGCTATGCCAAGATTCTATATGTCTTACAAATTAGGAGATCCTCTCCTTCTAGAAGATCTGATGATGCTCAAGCATCTGTGAGATTTATCCAATCTCCTTCTCCTAAGCCTGCTATTTATCCTAGATTGGAGATGGACTCCACAACCAGAATCTTGTCCATTTGCTGATCACTTCCTGAAAAGGAAATTTGGCTGGAAAAAGACAAACAAAAAAGAGAATCAGAGGCCAGAAATTCTTTTTACAATTTCTCTTATTGCCTTGACCCATACAAATGAGCGGGTACAAAAAATGGCACTCTCTCTTCTGACGCGTATTTAAATTTACGCGTTCAGCATCTCTTTAAATGGATTGTTGTCCTCAAGGACCATTCCATCCTCCTTCTTTTCTTTGACAGTTTTATCTGTCTCTTCCAGCCCCAGCAGATCAACAACTGGTTGGGCTTCCGGATCCTGCTGATCCTCTGGCGTCAGCATTTGCACCAACTCCCTCATGTACAATGACTATACAAAAAAGAGAAAAGGGGAAAAGCCCCAAGCAAGCATCAAAAATTTACTGCAGGCATTGCATTATATTTACATGCTATTGTTTACCTTGCCTGAATGTTGAAACTCTTGGGGATAGCCCTGATATCTGCATAGTTTTGTGAAAATACTTCAAACTCTTCATCATCAGAATCTAGCCCATTAAAAATATGTTGGGCATAGATCCTACCATGCATTCTTTATCTTTAGCTTTATCCAGCTTTAAGATTTTCTTTTTCCTCTGTTTGAAAGCATGCACAAAAAGCAAAAGCAAGTATGGAAGCAAAGCATTGTTAATCATTTTACAAAAGCAGAAAGAAAAATTGGCTAACCTTGTTCCTTATGAACTTGAAAAGCCAGACCAAAAAGACAGCTAGAGATGTAGCTCCTGCACCTCCAAGGCCCATGAAGACCAGGGCCATTGCAGTCCACGGGTCCACGTCCACCCCAATGTGTGCAACACCATGTTTGATGTTGACTGTCACCTCCGGCGTCGATGACAGTGCCTTGATGACGTGTGGCACCTCTTGGGCCACCACAATGCTTTGTTGCATCAAGGGCGGTGCCCAAACCACGAGCAGCATTTTGCTTGCTGACACGTGGACAACTGCCATGTTGGCCGTTGGCACCACCAGGCAATACTCTACACCAATAGAAATATTCTATATTGATATCTGGTGAAGGAAATAATCATTTTTCTGATTGAAGTATGAGGTGTTGGGATATACGAGGGTTCTAACAAAAGTTCTCGGAATGAAAATGAAGATGGCATCTAATTGAGCTGGAAAAAAAATATTCTTTAGGGCAACCATATTCTTCAGCACAAAAAAAATCAGCCCAGTTTGACAATTTTTTTCCATTTTTTGCAAAATTTACCCTGGCAGAGTTTTGCTATACACTCAACAGATGAGGCACCCTTCCTGCAGCTTTTTTTTTGTGGCCCAGTTTCCCCCTCAGAATTCTTGAAATCAACTTGACATTTTCTCTAAGGGTTGCCTCCAGGTCATCTAAGGCAATTCCGCCATTTTCATCGACAGCCGCCTTCACAGCCGCCGCCGTCACAGCCGCCAAAGTGGCAGCCACTTTTTTTCCAGCTCAAAAGTGGCGGCTGTGACGGCGGCTGTCGATGAAAATGGCGGAATTGCCTTAGATGACCTGGAGGCAACCCTTAGAGAAAATGCCAAGTTGATTTCAAGAATTCTTAGGGGGAACTGGGCCACAAAAATAGTGGCGGCCACTTTTTTTCCAGCTCAAAAGTGGCGGCTGTGACGGCGGCTGTCGATGAAAATGGCGGAATTGCCTTACATGGTTGCCCTAAAGAATAATTTTTTTCCAGCTTGATTAGACGCCATCTTCATTTTCATTCCAAGAACTTTTGTTAGAACCCTCATATGGTCAAAGGAATCATTTGAATGAAAACTTTGTCAGGCAACTGAAAAAAAAACCTGACAAAAACAAGTTGTCTGGCAACTCCTTCCCCGAACGCAGCTGTTGTTGCCCAGAGCTGTTTTTAGCAATGAATCAGGTGCAGGAACAGTAATTCAACCAGCAAACCTCATGCTGCCTTTGAAGCTGTGCACACATTCCAAACATTGAGGAGGTGGGTGTGACAAGTGCAACAAAAATTAATTCCATATTTACCAAGTTCCCCTTTTTTCAAATGAAGTGAAAAAAGGGAATGCTCATCATATGAAGGCATAAATTCAAAAAAGGTTTCAGAAGTTTATAGGTATGCATTATATTTGATTCTATGATAAATGATAATATTTTGGATCAATAATTTCAACAGAAAAGCTTTTTTCGTGGAATTAATTGAATATTAGTCAAATTCAGCATCAATTTATGCCTGAATTCAAATTTGGGTTCGCTTATTTTTCAAATATTTTAGTTTTTGAGTCACAATAAGAAGGGTGCACATGTTACTGTTGAGGGGGTCTAACATTTTTGAAGAATTTCTGGTGGAACAACATGTGCGCATGTCTTTCTCAAAGGGGGGAGGGGGTGGTAATTGACAAAATACATAATGAATTGAGCAGTGGCAATGTGGCATGTTGCTCCACTCCCAAATCTCAGCACAAGTTTTCTGGGTGCCAGCCTCATGGCTCCTGTGACCCCTTGTATGCAAATTTGTTTGGGATTGCTCTAAATTGGTTTCACTCATTAATCACAATGTTCTGGTGAATGTTTGCTCAGCATGATTCAATTCCATCAGTGAAATTGAATTCAATTTTTATTTTGATGAATTCTGCTTGTGATATGATCAGCAGTAAATGTGGTGCTTGAATAAACTGAAGTGTTACACTGCGCAGTTTTCATGCAACTCCCATGTTGCCTTTTGTTTCAATTTGTTTTTACAATTTCAACACTTTACCATAAAATTCAGAATGCAGGCCTATTACATTTGAAAGCCAGAGAGTCGCACACCCGCAAGGGCCTTGGAGAGGAACAGGAACCCGGCTCCACATGGTCTCAACTGCATCTAAAGGAACTCCAGTTCAAGATGGCCATGCCCCTTGCAGCAGCTTATTGCACATTGGCGGTGCTGTTGCTGCTCCTGCTGCCGAGTGACGATGAAAGAATAACGCGGTTGCATCTCCTCTCATCCGCATCCTCATCTCATCTCCACGACCCCGTGGCGAAAGTTACATTTTCAACCCTCCTGCCCCTCATTACGTATTCATTGGATCTACGCACTGCAGCAGTCGCAGCAGGCGAAGGTCTTGATTTCCCCCGGATCTACGCTTTATATACTCTCTTGCTGCCATTCCGAAGCACCGATGCCCGCATCACTTGAGCTAATCTCCATTTCCTCCGGAGACATAAAAATACTCGGCTGTGAAGATTACGACGATGACAATCCAAGAGACGAGAAAGTAAGTTGCGGTTTTCGGAAGAAAAAAAATTCTCTTGGACGGGTATGTATAGTGGATAAAAAAGCTTGGGATGCTTGGGTTCAACAAAATTACAGCTTGACGAAGAAGTACGACCAGTGCGTGGAAGCCTTTGAAAGCATCATTCACAGTTTATTCTTGAAGGAAACGGTGATTATAAGTTCTTCAATCGATCAAGCGAACACATTTGCAGCCATTCTCCAGCCAATGAATAACGGCTCTTGAATCATGGGCAAATTATCCATGAAAAAAGCATGGTCATTTTTTGCGGTATTTTCGCAGACATTTTCGGGTGATGAAGACGAGTTCGAGCTTTTCAATAGACATGTAGGAAATATTTTGAGCACTTTGGTTTGAATCCACTGCATTGCAATGAAATAAATCTGCAGTGAAACAGTCAAGAAACATATTTTTAAATTATCTGGTTTAACAACTTCAGATAATTTCGATTACTTGTACTCTGAAGACTTTAAAATTATCCTCCCGGTAAATTCTTCTCTACTGTATCTATACCCAGTATAGAAAAAGCAAATTTTTATTAATTTTCTACACATTAATCTTCCCACTTGAATTGCTTTTGCTGGGTACAGGGAGTTTATCTAGAGGTGACTCATCATTTTCACTAATATAGTTTAATTCAGTGAATGTATCTTGTTCATTTTATTCTGATCTCTGTTTCATTTATCTTGAAATTTTTTGAACATTGATATTTATTCCATTCGTGTCTTTCTTTCTCATATATCACACAATTCAGAAGAACAACTAAAGACATCCCTGGTTACACATTTTTATACTGCAGGTTCATGACCTCAATACTGCAGCCCCCTTCTGAAGGGTCCTCTTTCCTGCAAGAGCTTTTGCTTTTGCATGGCTTCACTAGGTTCTGAAGACTGGTGGTTCCTACTATGGGGTCTAAATACTGCGCAGGATTTGCAGTGAAGATAATTGGTTATGGATTAGCATCACTTTTGCTGGAAAACAATTCATTTCCCAGTTGACTTGATGGGCATTCAACTGGGAGACACTCCAACCAGGAATAGTGTATAGGAACAACTTCAATTAGGAATACAGGCAAAAGTTCAAGTATATAGGTATAGGAATTACTTCAAACAGGAAACACTTTTACTATAAGAATAGGAAACAGTCCAACTGGGAAACACTCCTTCATTCCCAGTTGAAGTCTTTCTTATTCCTATAGTAAAATAGGAAACACTTCACCTGGGAAATGCTTCAACTAGGAATAGGATTAATAGGAAATACAGTCAACAAAAAGTCCTTTACACGAATTCAATTACATAAAAAATTAAAAATTGGCAATTTACAACAATTTTTTAAAACAATTGCGAGGATCCTTAAGCTGCAGTTAATTTCATAGACATTAATAATTATGATTCATTTCAAAATTTACTTTTATAATGAAACAGTGAAACAAATAC